GAGGGGCCAGGGCGAGAGGGTCACTTGAAGCCGGGAGTTTGAGACCAGTCTGGGCAACATTGCGAGACCCCTGTCTCCACAAAAAATTAAAAAAATAGCCAGGCGTGGTGGCACATGCCTATAGTCCCGAGCTCACTGAGAAACTTTGAGGCAGAGGATCGCCTGGGGCCCAGGAATTTGAGGTGCAGTAGAGCCTATGGTCTGTGCATACTGTACTTCTAGTCTAGGTGACAGAGCTAAGTACCCTGTCCTTAAAAAAAGAAAAAAAAAGTAGAACTTCTATTAGTATGTGTATTCTGCCACAGTAAAAAACAAAAAGAAAAATGACAAAAAGATGATGGAGGAAACAGCTACATAAACCTAGGTATCAGGGGTAAATTAACAGACTGCCCAGAGTTAACCGAACTTAATAACACTCACAGAAAGATCTTCCTTCCAGAAAAGCAGTAATGATGCATACATTAGCACTTACATGTGAATTTTGTTAAGTACTGTTTTTGGTTCAAGAATAAGTTATTCCTGAAGTCATTATCTCATCCTCTTCCAACTCAAGGGGTCAAAAATCCTTGAGCACAGTAAGTATTCACTTTCATCAAGCGATTACTCTGTGCTTGGCACGTAGAACTTTATTTCATCTTAACAACCCATCGATATAGATAGGTACTTGGGTCCTATTTTACAGATGAGGAAACTGAGGCACGAGGTTAAATGAACGCAGGCAGTCTGATCTGCGGGCCCACTCTTGGAGCTAAAGATTTCTTCCTGAACCGCTTGTGACGCTGAATCAGCTACGTGCCCGGGTGCGCCGAACCAAAGGGACCATGAAGGCGCTGAAAGGCAGAGGAACGGCCTGCACCAACGAGGAGCTGGTGTGACAACACAGCCACCCGCTTGTCACTCGGGGCTGCCTCTTCTCCCTGTTCCTGCCCAGCCCTGGCCTCAGGGCGGAGGTTCCCCCTGGAACCTCACCAGGAAGAGTGGGAACTGCTAAAACACAACCCCCCTTCCCAGGCTTCTCTGGGACAGTGGGATGTGCCAAAGGATGAATGTGTGGTGACCCTGGGAAAGACCCCAAACTGTATCTTATCATGGTAGAGCCTCGAGCCTCCCCAACACGGACCCTAAGGGCCCGAACGTGGCACGGTCTCAGGGCAGGTGGCACGGTCTCAGGGCAGGTGGCACGGTCTCAGGGCAGGCGGGGGAAGCCGGCCGGGCCGGAACTCCGCGCGGACGCTCTCCCGATCCTCAGGGGGCCGAGGCCGGGGTGGCGGGCCGAGGGGCGTCACAGGGGGACCCGGGAAGCCGCACGTACTTGCGTTGGCGTTGGGGACGGGCACCGGCTGGGTGTAATACGAAGGAGGATTCATGCCCTTCCCATCCGGGCCCGTCATGAGCCCCGTGGCTGGCCCGGGCATGGGCGCGGGGGGCGCGGGGTAGTAGCCGTTGACGGCCACCGTCTCTTCATAGGACGGGGGTGCGGTCGGCACCGAGGAAGGCCCGGCGGCTGCCTGGTAAGGTCCTGGAACTGACATGTTACCTGGAGCAAAGACAGAGCACACTGGATAAGAGATTCAGTTCATCTCTCCCCCCTCTCTCTTTTCCTCCCAACCTTTAAATTTTCTACACTGGCAAACAGAAAAATCTCAGGAAATGACTTGTGTCCAGCCTTGTCCAAAAGCCAGAAAGGAAGTTAACATTCCTTCAAGGCCCCAGAATTATTACCCTAACAAAGGAGTCCCTGCGTCAATATAAAAAGTAAATCATTACCACCAAAAAAAAAAAAATCACCAAAACCTAGAAAATCCCAAGAAAGCAACATTTACCCAATTTGAGCAGTTTCTTTTTAATGACTCAAACCATTACCTGACAATGACCTATCTTCTATATCTGGTGTTTCTTTCTTTCTTTCTTTTTTTAACCACTGTGGTTTTCACCGACTGTTCCACGTCATGGAAAAGACAGCGGCATTTGCAAACCGACCACAAAGTATTGCAAATAGAGCCCTGAGCACAAGAAGGCAGACACCAGAAACAAAGCGCACGCTGTGGGACGCCACTCACACGGAGTTCAGAAACAGGCAGGGGGAACCCACAGGGCTAGGCGTCAGGAAGGCGGTTACGCGTGGGAGGAGGAGGAGCATGTGGAGGGGGCTCGGGGTCATGTTCTCTGTCCTTCACCTGGGAGCCGGTTACGCGAGCACACAAGTTCTCTAAGTGACAATTCGAGCTGTATAATTAAGATACGCGCACATTTTTTGCATGTCACAGTTTCTTTAAAAAAGGAAACACACATACACACCAGCTCGCACTTTGGAAAACGAGGCCCAGGGCAAGCAGACACACACGTCCTTTTGTGAAGGCAAAGAAAGGACCACTCCCTGCCCCCCAGCAGAGCTGTCTCCCTCCTAGAATTACACCCCGTGCCCAGGGCGTGTTCCGGCCTGCCGGGCCAGCTGGAGGCAGACACAGCGCTGTCCTTTGTCCACCCGGGCAGGGCTCAGGCTGCGTAACCAGGGGGCAGCGACCGCAGGCCTGCGCCTCTCCCCACGCGCCCTGCCCGCCTTCCAGGGCTCGTGGGAAGCAGCGGCAGGGACCAGGGGAGAATCGTCTCGGAGCTGTGCCTGGAGACCGGGCCGAAGGAGATTTCTCTGGAGCAATCCAAGGACAGCTCCCAGGGAAGCAGCGGGTGGCAGGGGCACATGAGCGCGGTTACACAAAATCAATAAAGATGGACGGGTTCCAGAAAACTCTGAAAGTCGCTCGGAGGTGTTCACACTCTATTCCATCGGACAGTGCTGTCCAACAGAATCTTCTGTGACAACGGAAATGTGACGTATCTACAAACTCCCTACAGCAGCCACCTGCCGCACGGAGCCGCCGGGCACTTGAAATGTGGCTAGTGCGAGTGAGGAACTGAATTTTTTTTTTTTGAGACAGAGTCTCACTCTGTTGCCTGGGCTAGAGTGAGTGCTGTGGCGTCGGCCTAGCTCACGGCAACCTCAATCTCCTGGGCTCAAGCGATCCTCCTGCCTCAGCCTCCCGAGTAGCTGGCATGCGCCATCATGCCCGGCTAATTTTTTCTATTGTTAGTGGAGACAGGGTCTCACTCTTGCTCAGGCTGGTTTTGAACTCCTGACCTTGAGTGATTCTCCCTCCTCAGACTCCCAGAGTGCTAGCATGACAGGTGTGAGTCACGGTGCCCAGCCTGTGTAAGGGCCTGGTTGCGGCCCAAAGCTGCTGAGCCCGGATAACAGAAAATTGGCCCAGGGGAGGAGTAATCGGCTTCTGGAAATTGCTAGCTTGGGGCCCAAAGGTGGAGCTATCGGCTAAACGCATATTTCTGCTTCTGAGAATCGCTTGCTTGCAGCTAGACCGGTGCCAGATAAGGGAGAAAGGCCCCCTTGCCTCCGGCGGGCTACCAGTCCACCAATCATTTTAAAGACTAACCCACGCAATCAGCTTGTGCAGCGCGGGTGTTCGAGAGGGAGGGGGGATAAAAGGGCAGCCCCAGCTTTGGTCACGGTCCTTGCCTGTAAGAGCGACCACTGCGCTGGCACTCTAGGGCCTGGACCCTGGCTAGCCAGAAAATAAAGCTCCTCTTGAGTGATTGCATCCTTGGTGTCTTTGTTCGTCTGCCTGGCGGGGTGCAGGAAGCCGGTCCCTAACACCTGGAACTGAATTTTTAATTGTATTTATGTATTTAATTGTATTAAATTTAAAAATCAGTACCTAATTCAATTCTTGGAAAGGCTGTATATAAGCCTGGGACAACTTGGGTGTGTGAATCTACTTTTTCAACAGTAAATTTTACCAACTCTGAATACAGATCAGAATGTTTTTGATAAAAATGTAGCATCCAATTTGGACAGGATGTCACTGTAAAATACACCCTGGATTTCAAAAAAAATTTAGTAGGAAAAACTGAATGTAAAATATCTCATCAAAATGATTTTTATAATGATTATAGGTTGAAAGGATCACAGGTTGGATATATGGAGTTAGGTAAAATGTATTGTTACAGTTAATTTCACCTTATTCTTTGCGCTTTTTACATGTGGCTTGCTAAAATAATCTAAAACTCCCCATGAAGCTCACTCTCTGGTTCGAACGCACGGCGAAGCTGTGAGCCACAGAAGGTTATAGAGAAGAGGAAGGGTCCAACTCCAGAGAAGGCGGACGAAACACAAAGGTCTGCAAGAGGAGAAAAAAAGAGGAAAACTGCAGAAGGACCCCGTGTGGCGGAGGGGAGGCGGGGAGGGTTAAGCGGGTGGGCAGACAGGCGTTTGTGAAACAGCGTCAGGTTTAAAAGCGAAACCAACAGTCAACACTGGTTTGAGGCACGTTGCCAGCTTCCTCCGACATACGGGAACAGAAATGCAGAAGAGGGCCCCGAGTGACAGCCCCAGAGTCAGCTGATGCCCCCTCCCCATGGCCCCCCAGGACACCCACGCATCTCGACTGGGCCTGTGGAAACTTCCAGCAAAAGGAACAACACGACCGCCCCGGTGCTCTGGAGAAACTCACATCCGCGTCGAACATCTAGAACTCACTGTCCCTTCCTGTTTCGGGGGAAGAGACAGACCCGGACCTGCCTACGCGACTTATAACGAAGAGTGACTCGTATAAATAATTACGAGTCCAGAAAACGCCGGAGTGTACAGAAACCCTGAAACAGCACTGCCGGCCCACATGGCGGACGGGACGTGCTTGGGGAGGGGGGGGGTCCCGGGCACCCTGAGCTGTGCAAGCAACTCGGCGCAAAGCTCCGAGAGGCGACCACTCACCCCGGTAGTGGCATTCCTCTACTTCAGACACCGCTGCGTCTCCTCCAAAACTGAGAAAGTTTCACTTTTTAAAGAGATGGGGGAGGGGAGCCTTCTCCCTGTGACCTTAAAAGAGCCAAAGGGCCCGAGTTTCTCCTGGAAACTGAGGCCTTGCCCGCAGCCAGCCCCCGTTTATGGACTGAGGATCATCCTTCTAGACCCTCCGAGAGCTGTCTCTGTAGAGCCCCGCTCGCTTTCGGAACAAACAGCCACATAAACACATTTATAATTCTGAAAAGAACAAGAGCCACTGGCCAGAACAGTAACAAACTCATAACCTGCTGGCTTGAACGGATTTCTAAATAAATTCCCCGGCCTTCCTTCCCTCAGAGCCCAAGGCCAGGAAATGCCACTCCATTGAGTCCCATTTCTTTTAACCCCACGCCCATTTCTCTTTAAACTGGCTTTCCCCAGCATGGGAGGCCCACCCCCCACCCACCCACTCCCCCGCCATTCCAGGCAGGGTCTACGCAGCCCTCCTCATCACCCCCCTGAACTAAAATAAAACCTTAGTGCTCCCCCCACTGGCTGACCTGACCGAATGGACCCCTCTTGGCCAAGGGATACCCTGACACTGAGTTGCCAGCCCCGAGGAGGGAGGTCAGACGTGCCTGGTCACGCCCCCTCCCTTCCTGGAGACACCCTCTGTAGCCATTGACAGGCCTGAGGCTGCAAGACACACCTGCAGGTCCTCAGTTTACACAACAAACATGTGGCCCGTAGCTTGTCTCAGATTAGCAGACTTCCTTATCTTGACTTAAAGCATTCCAAACCTTTAGCAAAGCTTCCTGTCTTTAGCCAGTTGCAAGTCATAGAGTCTTCAAACCCCCTATAACCTGCAAGCTCCCTCCCCCCTTTTGAGATGGCCCACTTTTTCGGGCCGAACCGATGCAGACCTTCCAAGTAAGGATTTATGACTTTGCCTGCAATTCCTGTCTCCCTGAAATGTATGAAACCAAACTGTGACCCAGCCACAGGGAGTCCACTTGCTCAAGGCTACTTGGGCGTGGCTCCAGGCCATGGTCCTCAAGCATGGCTCAGAATAAACCTCTTTATTTTACAGAGTTGGGTTTCTTGACCATTGAACTCCCCTACTAATAAACTCTTAAGTGTAGCAATGAGTCCCTCTCACCCCAACACGCACACGCACATACACACACTCTCTCCATGCTGTCTCTATAGATGCTTCATCACCCAGGTTCAGGCCACCTGGCCGCTGACCCCCTAACAATTAGGTCTGATACTTGCCCCTTTTCTGGAACAAACTGGAAACCATAGGAAAGCATTTCAGAGTTTATCAGCCAAGCTACAGTTTTGCCACATGAAAGTACAGCCTCAGAGAATCCCTTTGGTAGCCCTGGGTGGTTGGGCAGGCCTCCTTCCTCCCTCCCCAGATGTTTAACTTTGTCATTAGGCCCCTGAGGGTGGCATTCGACTGTCCATTTAAAAGAATGGGTTGAAGGAGGTGACACCCCCAATGTCCACACTTCCCAAAGTCCATCAAGAAAATGCAAAGGGTTGGAAATTTCTGTTTCCAGCATCTCAGAATATCTCTCATTAGCTATTTCCAAATCCAGAGACAGGCATTCCAAATCCATCTTCCGAATAGGGAAAACGTGACCAGGCCTGGCTTCATGGGTCAGTGACCCAAGTTAGCTTCATGGGCTCCCTTGGTTTCATGCTCTGCTGTTGCCATCTTGAAATTCTCCATACTTGTTGTGCAAGGGGCCCTGCATTTCCAGGCTGCACTGGAGGGCCCAGAAATTAACCAGTCCAATGTGACCGCTGGGAACAGGAAAGGACCAGGAGGCACGTCTGACCTGATGGACAATGTGGGCCTGGACTCAGAAAGCCGTCCAGCATGCAGCGTGATCCCGGCCTGCACCCTCTCATCTGCAAACACGCCGTTTGGGATTCCGGGGTCTCTTCTAGCTGAAAATCTCCCTCACTCCCAGTGTCAACGGACTCTCTAAAATGGGGGTGCACTGATATTGATCACAGCCCCCCTACAGGAACGCGGCTGGGAGCAGCTCACCCGTGGAGCTCCGGCACAGAGCAGCATTCCTCAGTCTTGTTTTCATTACGGCCGCCCGTTCCAAGGGCAAAAATTCAATTATATTTAAATTTGATTAATTAATTTAAATATAATCGAATTTCTGCATAACAAGAGAAATCAAATACTAAGAAATAAGATTTTGTTGGGCAGGGTTTGAGCTTCGGAGGGCCGCGAACAAGCACTGTAATATCTAAGTTGGTTTTTTTTGTTTTGTTTAGTTTTGCTCTAATCGTCACCAATCCTCACGCCCTTGGGTGCTGCTCTGTGGAGAACACCTGGTGTGCAGAACGGAGTGTGGGGGGCAAATGAGTTTCCCAAGTCACCAACATTTATTCACTTCACATTTCTAACAGGCGCCTCCTCTTTGCTTGCTGTCATGAATTTGCCCAAGTCCTGGCGTCCCTTACAGCTGTGTTTTCTGCCCAGGGCAGGCGCTGCTCCCGGGCATGAGTCAACCTCGTGAGCCTGTCACAGCAGCCCAGGCCTGAAAAAGAGCAAAAATGTTTTCCGACCTGTCTCTTTAAAACCCCCTCACCCTACCTGAGAACGAAAAACCTGCATCCCTGCCCGAGGCCAGTAATCAGAAGGGCAGAGGAGTATTCTTTGGGTTTTTCTGTACCCCAGGAGATGGTTCAACAGAATTGTCCGGGCAGAAGAGGTCACAGATTGTGCAGAGGTCATGACAATCTGGAGATGGAGATGGGGCTGATCGGAGCCATCGGCTACAGGTAAACAGCCCGAGGCTGAAACCCCGCTTTAAAGGCTCTGTAATCCTGTTTATAGTGAGGACAATGGTACTTTAAGAGGAGAGTCTGCCATCCTCTTCATTCGCTGGCAAAAATAATACATTTCTCTTTCCTTTTCCTCAAACCCCTTGTCCTCGTTCTGCTAAAGTAACCTCAGGACCCAGTGCTGAACTTTCGGGAACACGCCCACCACCCAGGGCAGGGTGAGGCCGGCAGCCTGGTGGACCCTGCCCCCTGGTGTTCGGGGGGCCAAGCAGGCTGGGCTGGCTGCTGTCCACTTCTTCCTTACCACGGGTCACTCCTTGGTGTCCCCCTCGAGGAGCCCATTCTCCAAACCGGTGTCCAGGGCTTCCGGCATTGAAGATGTCCCCAGCCCGGGAAGAAGTGAAGAGTGCTGCAAGGCACCAGGTCACCAGGCTTCCTTAAACCTTAATTGTGCATCTGTTTGGAGTCCGGAGGTTTCGGCCTGAGCAAAGTCTGCTACCCGTCTCCTTCTCGATGACCCCGCCCGACCCCGAGCCCCAGCTGCATCAAGATGAACCTTACTGGGCTCTGTCGGTCACCCCCGTACACACATCACCACCCCCACGTAACTCGCACGGGTGAGACAGAAATTATCATTATCGTCCCAATGTACAGACGAAAACATGGGGCCCCGACAGGTTAAGCTGCCTGTCCAAATTCACACAGCTAGAAAGTGGCGGGGCTGGGGTTGGAGCCCACGCTGCCCAGCAGACTCCGGAGCTCTTTAGGCCTCCCCAAAACACCTCTGGGCTCGGAGTCCAGCCGCAATCGGCGGCCTCGTTTCACACAGCTCACCCCTCCAGCAACACGTGAACAAAGCCAGAGGTTTGTTCACGGTAGCAGCAGCACATGGGAACTGGCGAGGGGACACCTCTCTCTCAGCCTCCCCGCCACGCACACAAAGATGCGCGCGCCGCACGCTTTAATCCGCACGCTCGAGACACGATGAAAAAAAACACCTGCCAACTATGGGTGCCCACTCATTTTGTCACTGAGCGCTTTGCAGGTCACACTGACCTGCTTCTTAGTAAACGGGGCCAAGCGTGGCTGTTCACAGGCGCTCCCCTTTCACCGTGGGGAGACCAGCGAGGGAAGGAGGAGAGCTCAGAATCCCTGAGATGCTAGGAGCATCCAAAGCTGCATTTTTAAAGCAACCTGCCCGGTGCTGGGATATCGCAGCCGCCTGCTCTAACCCTGGCAACAGGAAAGGCCCGGGGCAGTGGGGGCCCTTGCCAACTGAGAGCAACTCCGTTTCAGTTTTTTACTGTCCCTGCAGAGGAGCTGCCAGACCCAGCCACCTCCAGCAGCCTGAAGTGACATGATCCTGAGACTCCAGGGGCTAGGAACAAACGCCAGGAGGGACTTTGCTTTCCGCGACAGACTTGCTCCCAAACAGCCCCAGACTGCTCTGGACTGGACTGGACCGGCGCAAGCTGCAGGCGCTCACCACGCGCTCCTTATAGACGCCTCCCGTGCCCGCAGCAGGGCATGATTCGGTGTTTGCCAAACCCGGCCGGTCGGAGGTTTGCTCTTCTGCCTCCAATCCCCAATCCAAAGGAAAGGATCCCAGTCCAGGATGCCTGGAGACGGCCGGACCGCCAGCTTTCTCGCGGACCATTCGGGCTCCAGGCATGGCTGGGATGAACCTCTGAAACCCAGAAGGCTACTTATGGAACGGCTCCATCCGTGTGAAACTCACAGAATGAGAAAGCAAGTCAGTGGTGGCCAGGGACGCAGGAGGACACGGAGTGACAGCGAATGCTGGGGGTCTCTGGGGGGTGATGAAGATGTGCTAGAACTAGATAAGGGGGTGGCCGCACAACACTGCGAATGTGCTAAATGCTACTGAATCGTTTAAAATGGTTAATTTTATGTTACGTGAATTCCACTTCAATAAACAGAAAAAGACGTGACTGGAAATCTCTGACCTCCCTAGCCCACGCCAGGGCCTTGAATTCGAGCCTCCGAGTTGGCCGCTGACCTTAGCTCAGACCGTCGAGTCGAGCGGCCCCTGTTTGCTTAAAATCCAGTCCGCACAGGTCTTTCTGACGCTCCTTATCATGCTCTGGACAAGCGTGACCAACGGTCCCCGTTCTGGGGGACAGAGG